CTTATTCTAAGTCGTTTATTTTTTTTTTTTTTTAATTTTTAAATTAGTTATAGTTTTATTAATTATATTTTAAAGAGCGGTAATATTTTTATTATTTTTAATTAGAGTTGTAATTATTTAAATAGAATTATTATTAAAAAGCTCTATAAGTTTTTTATTTTATTTACTACTTTTTTTAATAATACGTCGTATTTTTTTATAATTTACTTTTTTAAAAACTATATTACTATTAAAGTTATAAGCAATATTAAGTATCTCGTTATCCTCGACCTTAGCTAGTTTATTAGCTAAGTTAATAAGTTATTTAAAATTAAATAAAAGAGTACTTAGGGTTTTAAAAAATATCGTTATTCGTTTTATTACTTAGTAAATCTTATAAAATTAACTTATTAAATAAGAGTAATTAAAATATTATAACTAGCTAGTTATAATAAGTATATTAATAAAAATTAAGGCTATAAATACTAAGTAAATAGTATTATAGTTATAAATAGCTTTTTTAAAATTATAATTATAAATCGTAAAATAAGTAAGGCTTTAGTAATTAATTATAATTTTATTAAAAGGGGTTCTTAATAAAAATAGTTAAAAGCGATTATAAAATTTAATATTAAATTAATTATTAAAAAAGCTATAAAAAATCTATTTTTAAGCCCGGCTTAAGTTTATATTATATATAAGTCTTATTCCTAAATATATCTTTTATAATATTCTTATTTATTATTATCTAACTATTTACTAAATAGTTATCCATCCTATTTATTTATAATCGTCCGTCCTACTTATTTATAAATATTCGTTCTTTATTTTATTATATAATCGTAATTACGTAACTTATTTATAGTTTTTTTATCCCGAGAGGAGTTACCCTAAGTCCGTAGTTTTATATATATAGTATAATAGCCGCTATAAGTCTTATAGGGCGAGGCCCTAGCCTTATTATGCGTATTAGGTTATAATAAAAAGGTCGGGAGTTTTAATTAGTAATTAAGTATAGAGCGTAATATACTTAGTTTTCTTTAATATATAATATATAGTACGGCCCCGATAGATTACTCCGTCGGGGGGTTATTAATACTATATATTAATATTATATAATTAATATTAAGAACTGCCCGAGTAACTAATAAAAGTAGAATAAAAAAATAAATATTAATTATTTTATAAAAATAAAAGCTTTAAAATTATAAAAAATTAGGCTATAAATATTTAATTAATAAGGCTATAATATAAATATAAGTATATTATAAAACTAAAGCTTATAGAGTTCTTTATATAAGCTTTATGTTTTAAAAAGCTCTTTTATAATATAATCCGTATACTAATTACTAAATTATTAATATCCTATTACTAGCCGCATCCCGAATTTATTATAAAAAGTAACTTACTTATCCTAAATTATATAATAGTTTTTATATTAAAATTATTATATTATATTAAATACGTACTTAAAGTATATTACGCATATTATATAGTTAAAAAGTATACTATATTATATAATTTTTTTTAAAAGCGTAATCTTGTTAAGGTCGATCTTTTATACTTATAAAGCTAGAAAAAAACCGCTATATAAGCTAAAGAATATAATTTAGCCTATTTTATTATAACTAGCCTTATTTAAAAAAGGCTAGTTAGCTAGTTAAGCCCGTATTATTTATAATAATCAAGGTACTAATAATAAAAAGCAAAGCTATTTATTTAAAAATAAAAATAAGTTAATACTAACTAAGTTTATAAAAAAAAAAGGTAGTTAAGTTAAAATTAAATATTAAGCTTATTTTAATAATAAATAAAAAGCTAGTTTATCGTTCTTAATAAGAGAGGATAATAGGGAATTATATAAGTAAATAGCTAATATAGCTTAATATTTAAAAAAAAATAGAGCTAATAAAAAGTAGTTAAGTAAACGTTATTATAATTTACTTTTTATATATTTTAAGTATATAATAAAAAAAAGCCTTATTTATTTAAAATTTATAAAAGCTTAAATTATTAACTTATTTAAAATTTATAAATTTTAAATAAGTAATATAATAATTCTAAATAAATACGTAGGTTATAATAATATTTTTTATTTTTAAAAATCTTAAACTAGAGCTTAGGTTAAAAAAGATAATAAGAATAGTTATATTAATATAATTACTTTTACTATTTTTATAAAGAGGTATTATTTTTTTAAACCAATTAAAAAGTAAAATAGCGACGCTTATATAAGAGCGACGCTTATATATTAATTTATAACGCCCATATATTAATTTTTATTAATAAATATTACTATTATTTAAGTAGAATAATTTTAAATTTATAAAGCTTAAAAAAACCCAATATGTAAGAATAAACAATTAGAATAACTAATCCCTTATAATAATACTTTAATTACTACTTAAGACCGTTATATAACCGTTATAGCCTAGTGACTAGGCCTTACTTATAATTCCGAAGGCAGTTTACTTAATCGTGCCTATGGTGCGCATAAGGCACATAGTGCTAGAAAGGACTGATCTTTCACGGTTAATCAAAAGGCCTAATGCACACCACTTCCTACCTCCCGTGCTTCCTTATAGAAACATGCTCTTCATAGCATGTGTTAACATCGTCTCTAAGAAGCTATGTATGTCTCGCCTCACGTGTAGGTCAGTGCTATGTCTAGCAACCAATCAGCATTTCCATTATTCCATCCGGAGGTATCTGACGCAGGGCAGGACATCCTCCATTAAGGTATGTCTACTAGTGTAGCTTCATCCCGACGTGTCCCCAATTTAAAATCTTTTCGACCGGGTGATACGACGAGGTACTTCTGACGTATAGCCTATAGGAACGGTACCCATTCGCGCTCTGTAAGACGTACGCGTGGTTAGGTTCCCTAGTCTCGGCACGCCAGGGTGGAGCACTCTCCTGTTCCACACCTCATCGGACTGGACCCCTTGCGTATGTGGTCAAGGGGCTTGCGGGAAAGTGGAGACTATGCTAAGGAAAAAAAAAAAAAGTAAGAAAAAAAAAAAGGGTGCTAGCTCGCCTTTGCCTCGTCCCAGATTCTTAGTACTATGTCGTTGCCCAGCACGCAAATCCCATCCACCATCCCCCATAACAAACGAGGACGCATGTTATCACTGCACCTTCTTTCCCATCGCCCATAGTGACCTCGTCTCTGTCTCCTGGATGCACTCGTCTGAAATTCTTATCACCATTCATATCCATCCGTACATTCCATCTCTGGACAAGCCTCGTTAAAATGCCGTACAACACTCGCCGCAAATCTTTGTCTCTCCCATCGCTGGGCATTCATGTTCCAGGGAGCCATCCAAGTCGCAATCCGGCCACCGCCGCCCCAAGTCGAAGCAATTCCGAAAATGGAGGAAACCGCGTAACAATTACATCGACAACAATAACGCGGCCGAATAAGAGACAGAAACGCTCGCATGGAGATGGGATAGTGCAGGGGCCGACGTCACAAAAACATACCGGAGACGCTGTAGTTTTTGATCATACGCCACCGCCGTCTCCGACAAAAAGTAACGTCGAGATGCAGGAATCCCACAGCGACTCCGAATCTGCCACTCACATGAAGATCGAGGGAATCAACGACGAGATTGTAGAAGCTACTATTGCCCAATTACAGGCCACCTGTAACCGACCTCATCTGGTGCGAGAGCTGGCAACTGTGCTTTCGCAGCAGATTCCAATTGTCAAGAAGTAAGCCACTCAGCTCCGTTCTCAAGTCGTCACAGACTTACTAACAAGTTCGTAGCTCTGCAAACCCATGCGCCATTGTTTCTTCCCGCCTCTCCGCCTACCTGAAGCGTTCCTGTTGGAGTGGTCGGGTACCTTGCCCAATGGCTAAGGAACTCGAAAAGATACACCCACGCCGGACATATTTTTATCTCACAACGCGGCCAAGACTGCCTTTCCCAGACTCTCCGGCCTTCGCTCAGCGTGTAGTCATCTCTCCATCTCTCTCCAGCATCGCATCTGGATCCGAAGATGGTGACGACATCGACCTTCGCCGGCGGGATTTAAGCCCCTCCCCCGAGGTTGATCTTTCCTCTCCTGAATTTGATGATGGTGACGACGACTTTGCCATGCCTACTACTCCCGTCGGGTCCCTACCAAGCAGCTTCCGGTACTCAAGAAGTCAACGCAGTGCCTCTCCTCCGCTGGAAAAGGATGAACGAGAGTTTACGCAGACGGCAGACGGTCTGCAGAAACGCAAGCTCGCCCGAGAACTGTCTTCGACGGGCAATGGCGAGCAATCTGCCAACGCCTTTGAACCGGCTCGGGATTATGGCATGTTCGACGAGAAAACCGGCGTGGCCGTTAACAGCGGGTTGGCAAATATGCATCAGTTCATGACAAGCCCAGCCTTCAAGGCAACCGTCCCGGCGAGCGTCAGAAAGGAAAGTGACGGCGACAGCTGGTTCAAGCTAGGGGGCCTCCTAGAATGGGATCATAGCCCTGAAAGCATTGAACTTGATGAGCTCGATTGTTTGCTGGACTCTTGTTAACGGCCGTGAAATGTTGCGTGTAGCGAAGGCATGGCCCACGTCCCGTATCAGCGTACGGAGTGTCGACTGATTATGTTATGGGCAAACCAATGCCAGGTGCGGCTTGTTCTGTCGACTCTGGAATCAACTGGGCTCTCTTTTTGGAGATTTGATACTTAGCTGGCGTTGCTGGATGACGGCGAAAACAATTGTGGAACCAGGGCATACGATAGCGTGAAGTTGATTTCGTTTGGAAGTACAATTAGGGAATGGGCGGATGTCTTTCTTGTACTAGTAGTTGTAAGAGCAGCTGGTTCCGAGGAAGTTTGTGCCGGCTTGATATTGGAATTCAAGCCGGGGGGATTAGACTCGACCGGGTATGATTGAAATGAAATAAACAAACCTCCCATTTCTCTACAAGTCTTGAATTCAGCTGTTGACGCCGACTTCCCGTTGATCACCAGACTGCAATAAATGCACCATGACTCTTCGCCTGCGAGTATGGAGACCAGGGGTTGCCTAAGACACGCCCGAATCCGATACTTTCAACTCAATCCACAAGGTCGTCCCAAGCTGCGTGAAGTACGGGCGATCTACCCTTGTGACTTGAAGTCCTGGTGTACACTGTGCGGCGTTCTCGACAATCTCAGCAATGTCTCGATTCCACCAGCATCCGTATTCTGAAAGAGCAGGCGAGTTAGTTCGTGCTGATGATTATCGTGGAAGAACCAATCTTACTCTGGAAATGAGAAGCTGCAGACTTATCAAGTAGCCCATTAACAAATCCCCACCATCCTCTACCATGCTCGACTAGGACAATCTTGCCTGTGTTCGGCTTTACTTTGCTGGCCAAATCCCGAACCATTTGTTCCGGGTCGCGGACACTGCAGAGGGAAAATGTTGAACAGATGAAGTCGTATTTAGCTTGCGGACAAGGCTGCTGTGGGGGCGAGGGAATATGTTCGTGAATGTCTGATCGGAGTATTCGTAGTCTTCCTGCAAGGTAGGAAATGTCATTCCACTGGGCCGGAGACGGCACAGTTTCCTTCTCAATTATTGGGTCGACATCAGCCAGCTCTGGCACAGTTTCTGCTAGCTTTTCGACAGCAACGCCGAGCATTTCATCAGAAATGTCGATTCCCGTATAGGAGATCATCGGTGATGCTTCGAACTTGGATGGTCGTGCATTGGCTTTTGGTGCTGCAAGTGCCTGAGTTGCTGAGTTCCGAGAGCTGATAATTTGACTCCAGTCGTAGAAGGGAAGGTTACGGCCGGTGCCCATGGCGACTTCGAGCACATGTCCAGAAGCCTCTGCAGCAAGCCTTTTCCGCAGAGAAGTGATACCCATTAGCCATTCCGAGCCCTCGAGACTTTGGTCAAATCTTTTAGCAGAATCCTTGGTGAAGGCGTGGGGTCGCCCTGTCGGAACTGCATCTGGCGCTGGTTCTGGGCTCTCGTGGCAGGTCGAGGAATAGAACGAGGATGCCAAAAGGCTGATATAGATTCCTAGACCCAAAGCTACTACCCCGGAGGCAAGCAAAGGTATCTTTCTGGCCTTGAAGATGGCATCGGCTGTTTCGAGAGTATTCGAAGTGGTGGGAGTGGGTTTAAGTTGGTTAGCACGACGAGTAGCGTAGCTGCAGTATGGTTAGCACTTTATGTTGAGAAGAGGATTGGTTGGACTAACGGCCGTGGAGCTCTTGCACCTTGGCCCGCGGATCGAGTTGAGGCCAGCCGTCGAGATATTGTTAGAAAGCTACAGGCAGCCCGGCGAGGGGCGCTCGTGCCGGTTGCAAAGTGTAGCATGGTTCGCAACCGCTACCAGAGCCGACACAAAGTATATTTTGGTGTTTTTAGAAGTAGTTGCGGGGGGATTGGATGATGGCGCAGCTACCCATGGTATCACCTTGCCACGTCTGCGTCTTTACAGAAGTGGTATGCAAGAATACTGACCTTGCCTAGCGAGGTGTGATGTGTGTGTGCGCACAGCCATGGTGTTTAATGACCCGTGAGTAAAGCATCAGGTCCAGTATTCTTGATAAGATATCCTTATCAGAGGTGAATCACCTTATCTAAGGAAGCTAAGGTAGGTGCACAAATCAAGGTACCTGGCTTACGGTCATTATGTGGGACCAGGCTAGAACAGGGAGCATCCCGCCCCGGTCCCACCATGTCTTCAATTTTAATTCCCTGGGACCACGGCACTTCCGCCAAGCAGTGAGTGCCTTACCAACGGAGTTTCGGCGGAGACGCGGATGCGGTTCAGATATCGGTTTCCGTATTACGTGTAGATAATATATGGCATTGTTATGTCCTGGACAACGGGTTTGTGTTCTACCCAATCTCGGCCTGCAGATATTGAAAGCGAACGTGAGCGCTTTGGTTTGCCAAAGGCTTGGGCATACTGCCACGTTGATAATCTATTTCCCCGTACTATGGGTCATCTCGACGTAGTCGAAGTATCGAATCTAGCTTCAGCCAACCTTTGGCGCCCCATCCTGCCACCCCTGGCTGTACATCTGGTCTGATAGACGCATACCATGAGTATGCCTTGCGGTCCATCTCACGAGGTCCAAGGCTGCTCCAGCTATCGAACAGCAGCCTGAGAGCTCCGAGGAGACGGCCAAGGTTGCGCATTCTCTCGCTATCGACCTCCGATTTGCTGACCCTCTTTTGCTTGGCTTTAGAAGCACTCCCGCCGGGATTGTCGCCAGTGGGAACACCTTCAGATTGGCCGGAAGCAAAACTTTTAAGTAGGTACGCCCGAGCCGATTCCGGGCGATAGGTAGGAATTCCGACGACGTTACTACTTGTTCCGCTGGCACTGCGGCTGCCAAGTCCATTGTCCATGTTCTGAAGATCCAGGGCCCATAAGGCCACATCATCACAGGCCCCCTGGGTCTGTGTGAATCGTAGCCTCTGGGAGAGTGCCTCTGTGACGACGTTCCGCATCAGTCTCCAGCGATCTGTGCCTAGCATCTCCCCTCCGAACCACCTAGTCAGCACTACGATCACGTCAACAATGCCGGCCTCCCTAATCAGTCGTTGTATGAATTCGCCGCAGCCAGTTTCGCCGTCGTCCTCACATGCCTCGCGTACCTCCCCCAGCCCCTTGTCTTGCTTGTCGCCTTGCCCTCTCCTCTTCACTCGATAGGCCCAGGCGTTATGCGTGGCCGTTTGTAGTTGTGGCTCGGAAAGTAGGAGGGACCTAAGGAGACCTGATGCCTGAGTGCCGTCCTCGACGTTTGCCACCCTTGCAACAAAGGTCGATGATTTGAAAGTGACCTGACGGCTGGCAGACCACTGATTTTCCGTGAACGCAATGCTGCCGAGGTCTTGCTTCGAGGAGTCTAACGGCTTCCTGTCCTGTAGACCATCACCTGAAGCCCTTCCTGGAGATTCCGGGGCTACCAAACCGCTGCCTTGCAAATCGAAGTCGCCTCTCTTGAGAACAGCTATAGCTCTGCCCATGATGTTGACCTTTGGCTGTCCTTCGCCCCACGAGCTGTCTTCGTTGGCGGCCTTGGTCAGTCCAATGCTGATGGCCTTTGACTTTGAGTTGGCGCTTACAACAGCCTGGGCCAAGCTTAGACGACTCGACATGGGCTGCATTGGCATTGTGTGCCTGAGAAGTTCCAACACAAAGGCCAACATCAGTGGCGCCCGATTGGTGTATATGGACGCCTCGGCGATCTCCTTCTCGTCCGTAACCACGGAAAGACTCAGGGCAGCCTCCATTTCCTCTACACTTTGGGCAGGACCTTCGGAGTTGTCGCTGGGGTGATAACTTTTGGGACGCTTCCCACTTGGAGAGCTAAGATGATCCCCGGATCTCTTGGTATTTGCCCTCTTCAGGTGGGTCTTGCATGCGGTCTGTAAAGCCTTGGCCGACTTTGAGTCACCTAGACCACGCTCTACCAGGTCGAGCGGAGCGTCACTAATCTGCTGGATGCTACTCACATACACGTGAGATTGGTGGGATATAAAAGCAGAACCACGCACTCGATCAACATACCTTCGAAGCTCCACTGTTTGCAGTGCTTTGACCTGGCCCATTGCAGCCATCATCGTCACTCCCTTCCGAGAGGTGATGACCCTCAGCAGTTCTTGAAGATCATGTTGTGAAGCCATTTCTGAGCCGGCCAGGACTATTGTTTCATGAGTCGCTTACTCGGGCGTTTATTTGTATCGGCAGCGTTGAGGAAAAAAGAGTTCACGCAGTGTGGATGGATTACTGCAATTGGCTACGCCGCGTCAAAATAAGTGAACAAATGGAAAATAGCTCCACCTGGAAGCACAGATTCTTCGGTACTCACTGTGACACTCTTGACTGCATTCACCTTTGTGCCTCTGTTATACCTCACTACCTATCTCATCTGTACATCGCATTGCTTGACCGTTGGGAATTGGGGTGTTCTTATCCATACTTTCCTCTTAACGTACGCACGGATATTTCCGCCAAGAGTACAGTGCCATCCCTGATCCACGTACGCAGTAATATGTGGCTACCTACGTATGAAACACTGTACGGGTATGGTCAGGTACATCGACCTCGGGGTCTCCCCACGTCGATGTACCCATCGGTACGTACTACGGTATGGTGGGTAAGTTTAATCCCTGGCCGTGTATTTGCGGGCAGCGGTCCACCTGCCTAAGGGTTTGGGTAATTTGACTGGCTGAAGCACACCGTGTTGAAGTCGAAGTATCTCTGCTTACTGTGTAGATTGACTACGTGCGCCACAAATACTTAACAGGGGGTTTTACTATCGCCTGGTTTCGCAGTGGGTTTGTGAGAAGGTACTGATGATAAGATGATACCTTACGGTATGTGTTAGGTATGAGTAACTGCTGCCCACGGAATGTCACATGTCGGTTGAAGCAGCTGTCGTGTTGAGGAAGGTAGATAGCCTCCAATATGTATGAATGGGCAACAATCCTGCACTTTGCCAAGCTACTCCTTCCCGTCGAGGCAATAGCTCAAGCCATCGGGAAGATTAGCAAATTCCAGCTGGCGCGGGCGAAGGATACTTAGGTATGGAAATGGCGGCGTGTCAGCCCAGCACCACAGCTTTCTCAACTGGTATGGACAAGGTACCTTAAACGCCCGGGGCTTGAGCCAGCCACCTTGCCCACCGTCATCCCTTGGCTCAGAGTAGCTCAAGCCTTGAGCTTCAAATCCACTGCGCGTCACTTTCACATCTCAACATCAACATCAAGCGTGACCAGGAGCTCTGGCCCGTTCAAAGTCAGAGCCCAAATTGCGTCGCTTCTTTCTAGAAGCGCAGGGTGCTGCCTTCAACGGCCCACTTGACTACGTTAGTCTTACCTCACGGCAAGGACGGAGCACCTTACAGCTAACCGCTCACCCCCTGCACAACGACGACACAATACACGCATAGCTTGGTGAAGCAACTAGTCGTATGCTTCGGACGACATCGCTTGTAAATCGGACGACATCATTTTACCACAACTTGCTCCCGAACCTCCAGCTGGAGCACCCCCCTCGCCTACCTTGTTTACTGAGACTACTCCCTTGAGCTCCAAGAGCATACAATCACATCTGTTCTCGGATATAATGGTACGCTCTCTGTCCAGTATAACGATTCGCTGGTCCTTGAGATTCTAAGTCTGGCGCTGGTAGGAGGTGTTGAGCAAGGCGTCTCGAGTGGCCACGTCCAAAACTGCACAGAGGACAATTGTGAACGCGAGCCTCCTCGTCGGCACGTCGTTATTTCTGCTGCCCTTTGCTGCTATCGCCTCTATCCTTTTTTTCCGCGACTACCTACCTGAGCAAGTAGTGACGACCCCAGTCCACCTCCAGTACGGGTGAGTCCTCCTCACGCTTCCCGCCTGCTTTCCGTTTGATTCAACCAAAAAGTAACCTCACCTCTAGATCAGGTGCAAATCCCTTTGGAACAGCAACCATCCCGACGTCTGCTCTGAGATCGCAGCAGGAGTATGATGTGTCCGTCACGTTGTCTATGCCCCGTTCGCCTGCCAACACACAACGAGGCAACTTCATGATTGCTATCCACCTGCTGGATGTTGGAGCCTTGTCGACGGGAAGCAACAAAATACAGCCTCATATCGCTCCTGAACCCTATGCTCATTTCGACGGAAAGACAGTCCTTTTGTCTTCAAGGCGGCCCGCTTTGGTGCCATATCAAGATCCAATGGTATCGACAGCGTCGCGAATCCTCTTCCTAGCCTACCACGTTTTGTTCTCCGATTCGGAAACTTGCGTACTGACCGTACCGATGGCCGAGCGCGTGGAGTTGGCCAGAGGCTCCTCCTTACCCGCTTCAGCGTACCTTGAACTTCAGGGCGGCCAGGATATCGAGACATACTCTGCCTCGATTACGCTGACTGCTCAACTGCGGGGATTGCGTTGGCTGATGTACAACTACCGCGTGATGACTCTGACCGCTGCCGTCCTGGTATTCTGGGCATCCGAGATCATATTCATGGCGGTGGCATGGCTGGCATGGTCTGGGCTTTCAGGATCGTCACAGGGCTCTGGCATCGGCAATGGAGGAATCGTGGAAAAGTCGTACAATAAGTCGATGGGGCAAGCCAAGCGAGAGGAAGGAAGTGGCATCGATGAGCTGTCGGATGCCCCGAGGACGTTCCCGACCTATGGGAACCAGGCTCCGTTACGGTATGAGCCTGAAGTCAAGGACGAGCAGCATGCGGGGCCTCGTGTGGAGGACCTGCTCCCGCTCGGTGGTGAGGCCGACGACGAGGAAGAAGATGACGGAAGGGGCTTCAGGGGGGACTCGGGCATTGGAACGAGTTATAGTGAGGGAGGTTCCAGTAGTGTACGGCGGAGGTCATCGCATCGAAGTTGATGAGGGGGTGCTTGCTATCTTATGGTGGTATTGTTGCTGACCTTTTGCTGAGATCTGGCGGGGTAACGTTAATACGTCGAGATATGGAAGAAAGCAAGAGACTATTGAGAGACCCCGCCGAGGATTCGGCACCCACTCATTTAATTAATTTCAACAAAGTTGCCTGCGTCGACTTCTTCGGAGTGCAGCGAAACGAAGATACTAATCTTGACCGTGAGGGTTCGTTAGGCATCACGAGCACCCAAGTCGCCATCTAACAAGGTCCAGGTGAGGTATCTTAGGTATCACCGTATCAGCAGAGGGCGATGGCTGTGCATTTGCTTACCTAACAGGAGACGGGGAGGCACCTGAGCGCTGGTACGGAGCTAAGGTAAGTCGAGGCAATAAGTCGCGGCCTAGAATACCAAAACCTGCCACTGCCATGGTGTTACCTCGTGGACGGAAGTGCCAGCCCCCCCACAGTGCACCAGTGCACTTGATCCCAGCGGATGTAGGAAGCTGCACTTGCGGGAACATCCAAGCACGGACACGGGACAGCCAAGCAACATTTCCCCTCCAGGGCACTATCTTGTCGCTTCCTTGCCCTCCCACACCGCCAGCTGCCGCCGCCATTGTCTTGAGCCTTGTCCCAACTTCGACCACATCACGCTGTAGCCAACAATACTCTGGTATTTTTCAGCCGCATCATCTTCTACTTTTCAACAATTTTCTCTCCCAGATCCCGCACCTCTGTCTCTCCACTGTCGTTGGGACAATATGCGCACCATTTGTACCTAGGCCTCCTCGCCCAAGGTCTCATTGCCCCCGGTCGTCAGATCCACCACAACCAGGTCCATTCGGAGACGGTGAAGAAGAGCAATTTCTACTTCAGCTTCGACCCCATAGTCGCATCAACTGCCACCTTGTTACGCTGCAGTCTACTCGCTACCCGCCACTGCGGTTTTTGACATCGTTGAGCCACTGAGTCGCTCTTGCAAAACACCGTTGCTTGCGTCCCTCTCGACAACCACCAAGGCAAGAAGCAACCCCCCACTATTCCCACCTCGTCCGCCGTGTGCCGCACCGAATCCCGCAAACCACCCACGGAACTATCGACCCAACGACTCACCCAAACCACGGCCTTCAGCTAACATTACGCAGCTTTACCAAGCTGCCTGACTGCCGCGTTCGCAAGGAAAACCTTCAGACCGCCGCATTGTCACTGGCGACCGCGGTGCCCTTCGCCCATTCTCCTTCCTTGCTCGGACTGCGGCGCTTCTACGCGCTCTAGTCCGCTTCGCAGCCATGCCCTGCTTTAAAGGGATTGCCGTTAGCATACATGCCAACGGTGCTCCTCTTCCCGAGCATGGTATGCAAAAGCAGTCACGACTGTCACGCATCAGCACCTATATACCCGTGCCTCAGCCAAGCATCAACCCCGATTCGAACAAGCCCGAGCCTGCCAAGTTCGCCATTTCAATTACCCTCTTGACACCCGGCTTGCCGATCCCGTACTCGACTCCGAAGTCCACCGAGACGAACCCTTATCCCAAGCCCCAGTTCGTCGGAGGCCTGCCCACCGCCGCTCAAGGTCCTTCGAAGTTCTCCGGAGTCGTCAACCCCTATATTCCCATGACCAATTCTGAGAATGAGACGATAGCCGCCTACATATACTTTGACGGAAGATCCAAGGAGGAAGTCGCCACGCTTCTGCGACCGGGTGAGGAGACCTGGGTCAACAGTCGTTGGGTTCAGGTACCCGATTCTGAAGGCGGAGGTCTTGCTGAGCGCGAATTTTTATTCCGCGAAGTCGGCTTGGAGCGTTGGCTTAACGGCTTGGACCTTCAAGGTCACGATGCGGCAGAGAAGCTGGAACGTCGCCGTCAAAAGTTCGAGAAGCGACGCAGGAGACAAAAGGCTACGACTGGAGCGACAAGCATGCAAGTTGAGGAAGGCCCCAACGGCCCCAGAGACACTCTGCGCTACGGTGCCGAGGACGGATCTCCTGTTGAGGCTGTCTTTGGCGAAGACGACTCTGACTCCTTATCCGACGATGACGAGATCCCCGAGGCAACTGGACAGATCAAGGTGCTGATGTTCCGTGTGCTTGCTTCTGGCGAAATAAAAAAAGGAGAATACTCACCACAGTTCGATGCTCATGACGACGACGATGACGCGGAGTCCGGAAAGCAAGGCAATGGGAAGAGCGGCGTCGATGCTGACGTGGAGCACACTACAAGCTTTGCCAAGCCCAAGACGTTGGATCCGAAGACTATTAGTACTCAGACCGTGACGGGTATCGATGGCCCCGACAAGCCATATGCTTCTTTCACATTCTTCTACCGCGGGGAGAGTAAGTCGGCCAGTTTCTCAAGAAATGTAATAATGTTGCGTTCTAAGCGGCTAACAATGCGTAGGGCAACTCCAAAAGATTGGCATCATTGCTTCTTCAAAGGCAGCCCAGGCAACGCCGGGATCTGCCAAACGCCGGTCTGGGCAGCTAGACTTTTCAAGCCTCGGCCCCTTGAAGACCTCTGGCACCGTTGGATTTTCTGCCTTCAGAGACCAGGATACAGAGGCCACCAGACGACGGAAAGCCCGCAAGAAGAGCAATGGCAATATTGGGGGAGCTCTCAATGACGACAGTGACGACGATGACGACGAGAGTGAACTTCTTGGAAAGATGCAGGATATTGATGAAAAGGACATCAATAACAAGCTCGCCCCCGAGGACGTTAGATCTCAAGGGGAGCTTGCTGATGGTGTGAACCGTATTCGAGTATGTTTTACTCCCCACATCCTCTTGTGTAAGCTTGGCACCTGACTCCTCATAAAACAGCTTAAGAGAGCACATTCAGCCGAGCCCGACCGCTCCGAGAACGCAGGTGCCACCAATAACTCTGTAAACTCGGGCGCGTTCGGTAATCCGTTGATTGGCGCTGCAAGCGCTGCAGGCAATGGCCATGTTTCCGAGGGCGTGAACCAGGACCCTAGCAACGACGCTACGATAGAGGGAACAATTGGGAGCCCCTTGAAGAAACATCGGCCGAGTATTTCTGGCGGCGATGATCAAATCCGAGCCCAGTCAAATAACTCAGGTTTGAGCGATGTCATGAACCGTGGGGTCCCTACACAGACAAATGCGCCGGCCACCTCGGGTACCAATGTCGACGAGGAAGAGCTGTGATACTCAATCGCTTATACTGGTTCAATCAGGGATGAAAGGGGCTGCGGGAGTCTGGGTCACATGGTAGAGAGGGTCCATGACGATATCCACGCCAGCTGAGTGCGATGAATAAGAAAAGCGTCAGAGGTCCTGAAGAAGGCCTGTTCGGTGATTTTGTATGCCGTTCTGGCAAATCAGCGGCGACTCAGCTAGGTCATGACCGCACAGGAAGTCGCGAGGCCCAGCCTGCTTTCAATAGAAACGTGTATTCTTGTGTGTGTACTACTTGCTGGGTGGACATCTTTGTGTAGCACTCTGTGCCACAACTTCCAGGAATACATATCAAACAGGCATCTCGAATTAGTAACCGTGCGAAGTATTGAGAAAAAGACCTTTGGAGGGGAACGAATCGGTACCGTCTTGTTCGCTCGAAGACAAGCATGATTGTGTCTTCCTGTGGTCAGCCTCTGTTGTATCCGGCAACATCATCATTAGGATGTAGCTTAGAGAATTTTCTGCCTTGATTGTTGGTCGTAGGTCGCTGTGGAAATGGATGTCTACTCTCGCGCGTATGCAAGACTATTTGAGTGGGAGAATGGAAGTCGTGCAGAGCGAGAAGACCAACCGGGGGTGGGGGTCGGAGGCTAGGCTGAGGATACAGAGTACCACGACTATTTGTCAAGGTCTCTCTCTAAGGTATTGTCTATTTGGTCTACTTTGACTCGATCCTTGGACACCATGGCTGCCACACACAATTACCTGTACCTGAATTCGTTTCGAGACCCCAAGCCTCCGTTGCCTTAGAGGACTAAATGTGTTTATCTCTTTCATGTCGCCATGACGCCGCTTGGACGAATAGGGAATGACGGCCAAACGCTTCTAGGTCGGAATGTCCAACATACCACCAGAATTCTCATTATCGTACATTAGCATAAATACTACAGGTTCTTTTCCGTGATTTCCATGTAGAACGCCCTGTGGAAGGAATCACCGCCCATATCTCCTTTTTGTGAACCCCCAATCCGCCTGTTTTCCCGCCCGTCTTGTGCCGCGATTGATCCGAGGAACACACCTTGCCATCGCCTTGTCTTGTGAATAGACATGATTGTCAGATTGGGGCCAAATCTCTCCACAGATTCTTATGCGCGCTGTAAAATGGCATGGAAGCGTTCAATGACCTATTTGGCGCGACATTAGTCACGGGTGAATGTCGACGGAGTCGGCTCAAGCTGCTTCGCTTACCTCTGGGTTTGACTTGACGAATGGGAGATCAAAAAACATGTACTTCTCGTTCTTGAGCAACTCAACAACTGTCACCATGAGACCCCAGGGTTGGGGCCAGTAGCCGATCAGGCGTTCCCAAAGCACGCGAGTGATTTGCTGCCTGATCTCCGTCTCCTCAGGGTCATTCATGTCCTGGCCGAAGATCTCCAGTAAGATACGGCTGAAGTAGTTGGTATGGGCATTGGGGAACCGCAATTGGTTTGCAATGCTGGTGATGAGGTAGTAGCGGGCCTCAGGAGGCAGCTCGTGAAGCAAGATGGACATTGTGGCCACATCTGATGAGGCTGGATTGAAGACATCCGTACCCTTCTGAGTTGACTGCTGGACAGCATAGTTGCCGACATGAAGAGTGACCGCCTCGACCACTCGCAAATTGGCATTGATGGGCACATGCCCAAAACCGGTATCAGGTCGCTGGCTTTCGACAATGGCTCGCGTGATGTGTGCTAATGTATCCTCAGACGGGCCGTTCTGCAGCGCGTGGTCAAGGACATCGAGCAAGCCTAAGTCGCGCAGAATAGACGCAGAGTTGTCTAGACATTCAGGGGAGTCCCTGGCACCATCTACTCTATCAGCTTGCAGACCGGGAAACGAAGGATCCGGCATCTTAGGATGGGCTGCTGGGTTCGCTGTCAATATGGCGTTGAGAAGCTGCTTGCAGTGAGGAGGGACACTAGCTACGAGTTGATGTGAGTGTGCCGCGAGGTAGTCCGAGTAGTCGTGCTGTAGAATAACGAGTAGCTTGAGGGTGGCTCGATAAATCTCTCGCGCTACATTGGAGGGCTCGATCGCTTTGACCTGTTCGCCAATATGTTCCAGGAGCAATTGCAGGAGTCTGGTAAACGCCACCCACCCGGAGCGATCCTTCATTACTGCAGGCAAGAAAGCCCGATGCTGGAGGAGGGAGAGCCAGCCGAAAACGAAGCCAGGAAGATATTTCGGTCCGAGGTCTGCGAGTCTGGCAGCGAATTTCAGGAACAGCTCCGATCTCTCTGACTCGGGGAGCTGCTCTGCAGTAGAGCTGATTTCGTAAAGGAGAACCGACAACAGACGATGGAACACTCTCTGGTTGAAGTGATCCGCGCGCTTCACATGGTGATGGTTAAGCACGAGAGTGATAAAGGCCAAGACAGAATCCAAGTAGACCGCTCGGCTTGGCGTCGGAGTAGGCTGTGCTTCACCGTGAAGTCTGATAAAAATGTTAATCATCTTTGCGAGGGCATCCACAGCGAGGAATGCATCCGTCAGGGTTCCCGTCGAATGGACGAAGTGCTCAAACCTGTCCACCGACATGTCTGTTGCGATTCTGAGGAAAACAAAAAGGTCGTCCTTGCTCTTGACAACACCTCTGATTTGCATCTGCTGCACGAACATGATGGACGAGGTCTCCGATCCGTCAGGGTTGTTGCAAAGATGGATCCATTCGTCAAAAACATATTCCATTTGGTCCTGCTGAAGTGCGCCTTCGCTCTCCTGTTGCGCAGTTTGAGGCAGTGTTTGACCAGAGAGCTTCGCCTTCAAGCGCTGTCCGATAGCGGAATCTGGCTCGTCCTGTATCCAGGACCAGGCAGCCTCGAGTGTCCGAACAAAGTCGCCATAAAGCGCCATTGGCCGGCTGCCGAGGAGAGTCAGATCAACCATCTGGTCCAAGAAGTCTAGCGAGCCTTCTTTCCTTTGCTGCAGCGCTTTGGACATGGATAAATCAATGTTTCTCCAGTCGAGGAGGTCGGTGCGCAGCAGTGCAGCGAGAAGTGGCATTTGGAGGAAGGTGGCTCCAGACTGTTGGCGGAAGTGGGCAGTGACGCGGTTGTTCAGCGTTGGGCCAGAAATCTTCCGCAACGTCTCCAGGACATGGACCAGGCTTTCCAAGGCTAAGTTGTCATCCATCGGGCTGAAAATGAGCTGGATAATTTGATCAGCAGCAAAAACAGCAAACTCGTCTGAAGTCTGCGATGCCTTGATCATATACTGAACCAATGCGTCAACCACATCTAGGACGGGATGTGGCCTCGGGAGGTCGGCGAAGTGTTCCTCGCGCGCTTCGGTCGCCACGCGCTGCAGTTCCATGAGAAGCTTCTGGACGCGTTCAATCAAAGCGCGGCCGTCCATTTGGAATGCTTGGGGCCTCGCGGTAGGCATCGCTCCATTGTGAACGGGGGCGTACTGCTGAACCTGAGAGCCGAGGTGTTGAACGGCTGGTGCATCTGCCGTAGCTCCCAGGCTGGGTACTGTGGAGAACTGATCTTGGAGAACTTCGTTGGCAAGCGATCTAGTCGCATCAGAAGCGGAGGGTACGTGAGATGGAGCATTAGAAGTGGTGGTCCGAGGCTGGCGGGCGAAGTCCTCGTATATGGCCATCTGTTCAGGGTTGAGGCCGCCCATGCTTGGCGACAACTTGAACGGGTTGGGAATCGTCCACGCCCACCGACTGAGAGAGGCATCCACATATGGCTCATTAGGGCGCTGAAGGCGATGACGACGGCGTGCTTCCAGTTCAGGCTCAATCATCTCCTCAATCTCCGGCACAGCTCTCTCCTCAGCTTGCTTCTCGATGATGTTGCATGCCAGATCAAGATTTGAGTTCACACACATGATGATAGTGCCTTCCGGTAACCCTTGCGGTAAATCATTAGATGAGTTCCTCATATAATTTGTGAAGTTGGCTCTCAACGGCTCCTTAGAGGTCACCAGCGCCAAACTTCCGGCAGTCGCCTTCACCATGCTGATGGCTGATGTCCTGACCCTGTTCTCATCAGGCTCAGTCGCAAAATCTTTGTGAATCATTTGCTGGGTGGAAATGGCAGCAATCGTGACGGATCGATCTACCACAGGCTGTATGATGTCTTGCAAAGCCTGCGTAAGAGCAGTCCGAACAATCTCGTGCAGTCGGGTAGCCGTTACCACCATTTCGTTCGTAGGCGGAATGTGAATGAGCGGGCCAAGATCTGGGATTGATGCAGCAATGACCTGAGGAGAGAGGCCAGCTGTGACACCCGTGGAAATCCCGTTCAGGGAAAGATTTTCAAACGTCTCCAAAGCGTCTTGGGAAACCAGCTCTTGTGCATCTTCGACAGCGGCACGGTTGAGAATCTCGCCGGAAGGCTCGATACTTTTGTGGTCAAGGTTAAGACCCTTGCACAACACTTCAATCTCGAACTTGAGATTGAGCTTCAGCTCAGCATGGTGATATAACTCGATGAGCAAGTGAATGATATCCATCAACCATGGGTTCGGTGGCCGAAATACGGTTGAGTTGACTCCCTGGAGAATGACTTTGCAAACGAAGGGAATGACCACGATGAGCCTTTTCGTGTCGTGAGCCTCGATCAAGAGCTGTTTGAAGGCAATGTTCTTGTGCTTAATCGGCTTATCGCGAGCCAGAGTGAGAAGACCAAGCCAGCCTCCAAGATTCTTGAGGTGTGACCGTTCGGTCGAGTTCTGCATGGTGGCCTCCGAGTTGAGCATACGAGCCACGCTCACGTACGTCTCTCTCAAAACCTCTCCCCACAGAATTTTGTCTTCGAACAGCTTGACCAGTTCAAGGTAGACTTGGTGATAATTAGGCTGCATCTTGGCTCGCTCCTCGACCAGATGGCTTGCAAACCATTGCTGATAACGATGTTCCAGAATTTCCCGCAACTCTTGACACATGGTTTGAAGGGTGGTCTCGGTAAGATTGTTCAGTACGAACTGAATCTTGCCTTGTGTATCGCTTGATGGCTCCTCGCAATCGACTC